GCTGCGGGGGTACCTCAGGTCGCCACGTGTAGCCCATCCCGCGGGCTCGGCACGGGGCAGCGTGCCAGGCGCTTCGGGGGCCAAACCCTCCGGCCAGGGCAGGCAGAGGGAGGAGAGCTGCCTTGGGGAGGAAGGCGCTGTGGGAGGGCTGTAGAGAAACCTGGGCCACACACCACCACATGCGGCAAACGCTGCACCAGGGAAAGTCCTGGGCAGTGTTTCGGCAGCTCCTTTATGCCATCCCAAAAGCCGGGGGGGGGGAGTATTACTGAGCTGGGCAGGTAGAGAGGGGCTGCAGGAGAGCCCCTGCTGTGCCTGCCCCAGGTTGAGATGCCGCTGCCTGGCAGCTGAGCGGGGCTCAGCACAGCTCTGGGGTGCACAAGAAGCCGGGGTTCAAGCCAGGCTGCAGCCTGGGCCGGATCCTGTGTGATGCTCATCATCCTCCCGGACCACAGGCAGGGCTGAGGGCACTGCGTACCGGCCAGGAGCGAAGGTCTCGTTTCCCATCACTGCTTTATGGCGCTGCAGTTTCCCCTGTGTCACCCCCCCACCCAGGTCCAGGGAGGGGGCCGGGGGGGTCTGCCAGAGCCAGCCCAGCACCGGGAGCTCCCCGCCGCCATCAAGGCCGTGCCGTGCCGGAGCCCATCCACGCGGCAGGTCCTGAGCTGGGCACAGGCCGGGGAGGGCTTGACCTACGCGAGGCTCGGCGGGGTCTGGGGGCTGCGCTGTGCCTGCCCTCGGCACAGGGGACGGGGCCAAGGGGGAATCGGCAGGGGGGCCCCCCTCCTGTTGAGCTTGGAGCGCCAAGCCGCAGGCTGCCGGCCGGGCTCCCGCCGCCGGGGAAGCATTGCACATCAGGACCCAATTAATGGCAGGAATTGTTTTGTGAAATACCAAACCCTCATGGCACGGCCTGATATTGAGAACAGATTTATCTGCGCTGCCGGTTGGTGTTTGCTCTTCCCCGCTCTCCCCTTTCCTCCCACTGCAGAGAGCAGCCTTGGCCAGGCTGGAAAAACCCCAACGCCAAGCTGAAGCAGATGCAGCCTGGGAGCGGGGCCGAGCTCCTCACCTGCTGCCGGGGGCTCTCCCGCCCCAGGTGCCCCCGCCTCCCTCTGCCCACGCCTGCCTCGACCCCCGGCGAGGGGGCAAGCAGCGATGCTGCAGGCAGCACAGCCCTGCGGGAAGCAGCCCCAGGGGACGCAGCCGCCTCCTGCGGCCCCAGAACCTGCTGAACAAAACTGGACCCGCAGCACCGTTTATTCTTTTTTTAATTATAATCCAAATTGTAACACAGCTGTAAAATGCCCCTAACAATACGGAATAGGAAATGTATATGTTCCCATAGCGTCTGCCTCAGGAATCAGAACGCAATCATACAAAAATAGAAAATAGGGTATTTTTATATATATATTATATATATATGATATTTATA